ATGTCGTCAAAGGACTCCCCGCTCTCCAAGACAACACCTTCCGCGCAAAGGACAATTGTACTGAATCAAGACACTACAGTAACCGTCAAATATTTATATTTCTTCAAACACTCGATGAATAATCATGCCTGCTGATGGGCTTAGCTCAAAGCGTGTCATCCATGATAAATTTGTTAATCAGAGTAAGAAATGCAGCATCACAACAAGATGGCTAGTATATGAACTTCAGAGTCGATAGAGAAGTTGTACACACAAAAGGTAAACAGGAAACATAACATGAATTTAAATATTAGTGACAGGAATGCATTACCAAAGGGCTCCACGAGTTGCTTAGATATAGCAGCCACGGGATCCGCCAAAACCAGCAAATCAGCGAAAAATATGTAAAAATCTGTTTGGTAACCTTGCAAGTAAACACTTCAGAACTTTGTTGAGTGAAACATGCAAATATTTTACGCATCAAGTAGTCCCAAGATCACCTTTTATATTGTGAGACCCTTCAAATAGGCATCATATGACAATTTCATCTCCTTCTTGTTGCAATTCTTGAACTGCAAGTTACTTAACAGTGTGTGTTAGCTTCCATCCATGTGAGGCAAAAACAAATCCAAATTGCGAAAGCAATAACAAAACAGCAGTAAATACAAAATACAACAGGAAGAAAACACAGAAAGATACAAGGCATAGGAGAGAGGCTAATAACTTCGACGTAGCATGCAAAGCCTAACCATTTTGAAGCATAAACATGTACATCTCATATGGTACCTATCTTTTAAGCCGATATAAGATAAGTCAGCTTAAAATCTAGATGCATTTGAGGATGGCCACCTTTTAAAAGGCAGCAACTTATGACCCAATTAAGCTTGGCATATGAGAAAATAAAAACTAAGAATCAGCCAATACGGGTACCTATCAGAAGGAAGGAGTCAAATTTCAATGCAACATATTAATGAACTGAGACACTCAAAAAACTGCTAAACCCATCGATTTTGTGGTGCCCCAAATCCATCTTGAGGCTTGGAGACAAGATGGATGAGGTGAGATGAAGGTACAAAATCCATATATTTGATTTTTGTCCCAGATCACGTGGTGAAATGTATGTGAAGTGTCTTAAAGTGTGAGCTTTGGACCTTCATTGAGCAGACAATATTGAACAATACAGGGTCAGGGCGTTCCTTACAAATTATATCAGTCCATCAACACTAATACCACCTAATAGACCATGTAAGCCAGACCTAAACAATTTACACACTCAAAACACTCAATGAGACCCCGTCAACCCATTATGAAAAGGACTGTGTACACTGTATGCATTGGCGGAGGTTGCCTCACATAACCACCACCACCAAACAAAATAGTGAAGAACCCCAAAGGGCTAAATGTTTTCACAAACTAAAAGGGACTTCCAAGTGTTGCACTGCCGCCGCCGCCACGCCGCCCCCCCCCCCCCCCAAAAAAATAAATAAATAAATAAATAAAATTTTAATGTTATTAGTTAGATATGGAAAACATTTTGCAATTTTCAATAGCATGTCATTTTGTTTCTAATTCTCCACACTAGTAAAAAATAAAGAGTGAACTCCAAGTAGAATGTGACGTGTTCACAAGGAATGACATAGCCCTCACAAATTTAACTAGTATTATTAGTTCATCTCACCAAGAATTGAATATAGTAGCATTTAACTAGCTCTGATCTTCACGTTGGGTGTGTAATGCGAGAGCAGATAAGGTCCACCACCCCTGAAGGTTAGACTAGTCCTCTTTGGGTGTGCGGTGAGTTTGACCATTGGTGAAACCCTTGTTGGGTATTCTTCACTTTTGTGAAATAATATGCCTTTCTTTCTTTTATTAGTAAATATGCCTTCCCTTCATTTTCAAGGAAAACTAGAAATAATAGCACACTTACTCTAAGCTTTCGTCTAGACAACAGCTAGCCTGCTTCAATAGTCATACCTCGACATTGATTAATATATATACATATATATTCTAATAAAAATAAGGAAAAAATTGAGAAGCAGGAGACCTGCATAATTATGTAAAGTTCTTATAGGGAACTAAATAAGGCATTTGACTATTTGATTATTTTTATTTTTATCTTTTTTCTTCAAAAGAATGTTCTTTTACCATTTTCAAACCTTTAGACTAATGCAATAAATTACATTTAGGTGTAACATAGGGAGAAGCCTTTTATTTTATTTTATTTTGCATTTTTTTTTTTTTTGGGGGGGGGGGGGGGGTGTTGGGGTTTCTTGCATAGTACCATAGTACTTATATCTTTACCCTAAACCCTAAATCTATCTTGAAGAAATTCAAATCTTCAAATAAATACTTAGTTCAAAATTAGGAGTCCTTTCTTTGTTTTATTTTTAATTCAAGTTTCTATTTTGACTAATGCTAAATATCATTACTTTATATCAAAAAATTCATACCAATATTTGTTTGGAATAGCTGGTTCCGTCACATTTCTTTATCACTTTGCTTTGGTCCCCCATTGAAATCATCTTATCTGGATACCAAGCACAATTTGGACAGGCTTAACAGGAGAAATCACTAAGCCTACAATGGAAGAAGAGGAAGGTCCCAAAAAAAAAAAAAAAACAGAAGAAACATCTACATTTATGAGAAGATGCATAGAATACCATGTCATAACGATTTAGCAATAATAGGAAGAATAATAGAAAAGAGCCCAACTAGTCAGGATAATGTCTTGTCAAGCAAGTTGAAAATTTCCCCTTGGATTATTTTTGTTTTTCACAATGATGCCCGGCATTTAAAACAAAATAATCTAAACATTTTTTAGGTTTAATATACACATACTTTACCCAACAACTGAATCCTTGTACAGTCCATATGACTTCGACAAATTCATGTTTCAAAACCTAATTCTACAAATCCTACATCAATCTACAATTCCATTCCATTATCATTCATTGCCAATTCTCAAATGCTCTCAAATCAAGATTCTAAGACTATAAAATTGAAGAAGATCGTTTAGATTGTCTAATGAGTCTTATCTTCCCAAACAACTTTCTACGTGCTACATAAATTACACACAAAATAAAATAGAACAAAATAAAAAGAAAAGAAAAGAAAAGAAAAAGAAAGGTTTCCTATAGAGCCTAGTAAAACACTTACTAAAAAAATTACATACTTTTTGCAAGGTCCTTCTCCTTAGCTAGTGCCATCCTCTTAAGTTTAGCTGCTTGTGCAAATGTTGAAGGCCTGTTATCAGAAAGTATGTGAAACTCTTTTAGATCACATGTCCCATTGTTGGCACATAAATTTCAACCAAATTTATGTTAAAATTTCAATTAGTCAATTAGTCATTCTAGGTAATCACTTCACAAAAAGATTAATATGACCCGTTGAAGTGCATAAATAAAACAACGCCGTATCTCAAGACGTTATTCAAAATACTTAAATGTAACGCGGAACTTACGAAAGATGACACCTGTAGAGCCTACAGAAATGATACCACACAGGATGAAACCCAAAAGATCAATCCGGTTAATTAGATATACGATTAATCATGTAGCACTATCATTCAAAATTCAAATGGCGCTATCATTCAATTTGAAATTCAAATTGAGGATGAGGCACTCTTATCACCTAGATGGCCCTCTATAAATATGAGGACCATCACACAAGAGAGGGGATCGAAAAATCAGAAGTGAGAATATCAGAGAGAGAGAGAGAGAAATTAAGAGCTAAAGAAGTCGTTACAAGAAAGAAGAAGTCGAGAGCTTACACTACATTTCAAGCATCTGATACAAAGGCGAGCATTAGGTAAAGGGTTCCAAACCTAACTATTGTATTTTGTATCTAAGGATTCTAAATCCCTACAATTTCAGTAAAACATTTCTTTTTCTTAATTTGTCTTCTATTCATTTTTTTTTGTTCTTCATTAATCGGAGGTCTCATTTAAATAAAATGTGTAATTAATGATCAGATCGGAAATAGGAAACTACTATTCAAATAATCAACACTATTTAGTCCAAAAAAAGTAAACAATGGACATCTGTAACATGAGTTTTGAAATGTGTTGAAATACTTCACGTTTCAAAATTTGTGTCTACAAATTCTGGCACGCCTAATGGGACCTATTTCTCCTCCTATCTTTTGAAGAACAAAAAATATATATATATATATATCTAAAACTTGATGACGTATTCTTTTGTTATAAGAATGTTGAAGCAACTGTCAAAAGGTTAACTTACACTCCGGTGGTTTTGAAATCACGAAGGGTGGAGATAGCACCCATCACTTGAGGGGCTTCAGAGCGAATGCTCTTGGTTGTCTCAAAGGTAGAACTAGCAAAATCCTGGAAAGATGCAGTATCCCCTGTCGCCTAAGAAGGGGCTCCGGAGTGAAGGCTCTTGGCTGTCCCAAAGTTAACTGGTGTCACAAAGAAGGTCACACTTCTTCAGAAAGCTGAAAGTTTGAAAAAGATTGCTAAAGATTATGTGAAAGCGTCGAAGCAGTATGCAACTGTGAGGGCCACAACCCTAACGAAGAGCTTTCTAATCCAGGCAAGGGAGGCTAATTAGGTTGCAGCTACGGCCTTTGTTGCAGTTTCAGCGAGCGTAACAAAAAATGTTGTGGCCCAACTACTCATAAGGGTAGAAGACTTAGTTAAAATGACAAAGTCTGCCTAGAAAAGGGCCTCCGTTGAAAACATGGCCATTATTAGGGCCATTGGGAGGAGGGCAATGACCTAAACTCCTGTTGATGGAAAAAATGCCCTTCTTGTTGAAAAAACAGTTGCGGCCTACGAACCGACAGTTTTGTTCAAAGCGCATAGTCGGTCGAACCAAATCCCAGTCACCTCTGAGGAGCCAAAGGAACATCTGTTGGCCCGACAATGTTCGAATAAGGAACACCCATTGGCCCGATGAGATTCGAATCAACATCAATTGGTCTGCCATAAAAAACCCTCCATGTTCCAAAAAATGCAGGGACTATTTTGAAAATCCATGAGGAATTTGCAAAAACACAAACGGTTCCTCTATGCCCCTAGGAGCTCGACCTGATAGGTCATCAGATGGCCCAGTTTCAAAAAGACAAAGGCGAAGAAAGAATAATGCCTTAAGGAAACTAGAACGAAGAACAGTGCTGACAAATGTCATAGGAGCTGTTCAAGCGGCTCTTGAGAGAGATGAACGCCAAAAACAAATTGAAAGTCCTATCTTCACACCAGGAAGAACTGTGGGATCGGACTCAATTGGAAAGTCAAGCCTCTCAAAAGCGAAGAGTAAATGACCCTTAGAAAATGTTTCCGCCTTGAGCCAACTATCTATAGAGGGAATAAGAAAAGGGCCTGTAACAAGGTCTATGACTGGTGAGGCTCAAAACAAAGCATTGCAGTCAGATGGGGCTGGTTTGGCAACTTACAAAAAAGCCAAAAAGTTAAAAAGTTACCAAAAAAATTAAAAAGTTATCACTATTCACCAAAAAAAAAATATAAAAAAATTATTTTCATACAAATTGTGAGACAACTCACTTTGACGGAAGGCGGCTGTGCTTGACTTTAGTGAGGATAAATTACACAGGCGGAGGCAAGCTTAAGGACTGTGTTGTTCAGCCCGTGGAGGCCATCACGGGTCCCGTTTTGATAATCCGAACCTTTCAATGTGTAGAACTCGTTGAGTACTATATGCCTATAAAAAATCACGTTGATCGGATATTACTAACTATATGATCAAATCAGTTTTGCATAAAAAAATGAATGGTGTTATAGTTAACGGTTGAAAAAAAACTAATCTGATCAGATAGCTATCGATATCCGATCAACGTGATTTTTTACAAGCATATAGTACTCGACGAGTTCTACATATTGGACGGTTCTGATTAGCAAAATGGGACCCGTGGTGGGCCCCATGGGCTGAATAACACCGTCCAATTTATGTCCGAAAAGGAGAGAATCAACTCCTCCCCTACACTCTGCCATGCTGCCCCTTACGCTACCGACCGTACGGCCTATTCCATCACTAACGTCTCCTATACACTTATTTATACAATTTTTTAATACACATTTTTTCATAAAAAGTCAAAAAGTTAACCCAAACATCCATATTTTTTTCCTCAACTTTTTAGTCCAAAAAAACAAAAAGTGCATTTATTTAGGACACCCCAAACAACCCCTTAAGATTGTGGGGATTGATAATCCTTTATATGAACAACATAATTTTGACTCATCTAACTCATCTGTTTCAACGAATATTGAAAACGACGATTTGAGAGATATCAACAAAGCTGTTGCAATCATGATGACTAATGTTGAAAAGGAGGGCGAAAATTTGCAAGTCCAATAGGACTAACAGGGTCTTAAGGAAAAAGTGGTGACCCTACAAGTAGGGGTGTGCATAATACCGCCGAAACCGTCGAAACCGCCAAAACCGCACCGAACCGCACTGCCAAGGCAAATTTGTTATTATTTGCCAATCGAACCGCCGGTTTTTAGGAAGAAAAATGGCAAATTCTAGTGACACTTTTATTAATCCGCCAATTTTTATTTTTCTTCCAAACCGCACCGACCCGCACCGCTATTAAATCATGCTTTATAAGATTCTAAAAATTCTTTTTAACTTAAGTTTGCTTGTTGTTCTATATCTTAGAATATAGTATTACATTACTGCTCGAGGGGAATTCAAGATGTCAGTAATTCAAAATAAAGTTGGATTCCAATTTACTTTTCAATCTTTTTTTTTTTTTTTTTTTCTAGCCATGTTGCAAACTTGCATCAACTCACTTTTCAATCTAATACTTTTCAACAGTAAACATTTTCAATATATTGTAAACCCTGAATGATATTAATTTTATGTATTATATTTGATCATTGTAGCTTCCACAGATGCTTGTAATGAACTGATGGCATAGTCATTGATATTATCATGTTGTTGCTACACTTGCTGCATCAGAAGAAAGCTTCGCAAGATGCTTAACATCACGGTATCTCTCGTTTTTTTTTTACTCTTTGATTTAAGTTTTGTAATTTGAATTATATTTTTTATAAACCGCCAATCCGCCCGAACCGCCAAGGCAAATCCGCCATTATTTGCCAACCAAACAGCCGGTTTTTGATAAGGAAAATGGCAAATTCTAGTGACACTTTTATCAATCCGCCACCCGCTATACGGTTTCTATTTTTCTCTCAAACCGCACCGACCCGCACCGCGCACACCCCTACCTACAAGAACAACTTGAAAGAAGAGAACGGGAAATGGCTATTGTGTTGGAGCAAATGCAACAGTTGCAGGCGAAAATGACAGAAGTGCACCTAAACAAACGGAACAACCTATAGTGGTGACATCTGTAGGCGTGCAAAGCACGCTAGCTCCAGGGGGCAATGGCCCTTGTTACTCTGACCTAACTAGTGGTGGTATGAATCCAATGCTCATGGCCATGATTGATAATTTGGTGAGGAGACAAGTAAAGAAAGTCAAGGAAAAAGATGATGAGAACTTTTGAGTTATTACAAAACCTTACCCAGTATGGGTAGATGTTGTTCCATTTCCTTCTAGTTTTTCTTAACTAGATTTCAAAATATTTGATGGAACAGGAGATCTAAGACAACATGTGGCTCACTTTCTTTCAAGATGCGGGCCAATAAGCTAGAATGAGACCCTTTGCCTACAACTATTTGTCCAATCACTTGAAAGTTTTGCATTTATATGTTGTGCTAACCTTCTTGAGGGATCAAACCCAAATTGGGATTCCATGTTGAAGGAGTTCCTTAAATAGTTCTGTAACACGCAAAGGTGAGTTGGAGTACCAGAACTAATTGAAACCAAGCAACGTGACAATAAGCTTGTTACTGACTTCATTGCAAGGTGGCAAGCTTTGAAATTTGACTGCCCATAGAAGTTCATGCAATTAGAGTTAATTCAGATGTGCCTTAACAACTTCTGACATGAGCTCTCTACAACTCTTATGGCTCAAACTTTTGAAGGCTTCAATGATCTATGCACCAAAGCTCCTGATATGGAACCGCATCTGACTAAACGAAGGAGGTCTAGGGCAGTTGAAAGAGTTAAGTCCTCAACCACAACTACAGTTGAAACTAGAAAGAAAGCCCATGTTGTAGTTAGGGCTTAAAAGCCCAAGGAATTTAAAAAGGTGACTATGAAAGAGAGGTTAAAGAAGAAATATTTTTTCACGGATGATCTGGTTGAGGACTTATTTGGACATCTGTCGGAGCAAATGTTGATTGCTCTCCCTGAAGT